GGGAAGGGTTCTTTGTTCTCATCAACATAGGGACAAAATTCCCCCATGTTGAGGGCATGTGGCCTGGTATGTTTTGGAGGGGTACATCCCCAATATACCCTTTCTTGGCCAGCCAGGCTGCATGCTTGGATAAGGGCCTGAGTTTTTGGGGGACAGCATGCTTTTTTTTCTTTTTGTATGGTAGTCTTTGTTAAAATTCATACCAGGTATAGCTTATTACGTTTGAACAGGATCCCATTTAAAATATATGCCAGATCTTAAGGGTCTTATGTGAATTATGGGGGAAACCCTCACGCATTTTTTTTGTGTGGGATACCCATTGACATCTATATCAGACCATCATCTAGGATAACTCTTATAATCAGTACATTGACTGCATACAGTAATGTCTTTATCCCAAAACCAGCCTTCTTTGAAGCATTTCATCACTTCTGGCTTGCTCACAAGGATAGGGGAGCTAATTGGAGTGCAGCTGACTTCTTTCTATTTTCAATGTAGAGTGGAGATGGACTGTGATGGCCAGAACCCACTTTGCCCTGTGCACTGTTTGCAGAAGAGGCCAGTCATGAGCAGAGCTATGGATTTGTGTGTGTTTCTGTTGAAAATATGACCTAATTTATTGACAACATTTTAATAACTAAGCCATCCAAAATACACACCTTTTCCTCATTAATCCAATCTTACAGGATTAGTACTACAAATATTTTCTATTAATATTGAAGACCTTAATATTCCCTACAAAGAATAACACTTTGGGAAGAAGCTATAAAATCCCACTGCAATATTCTATGTGCAGAAGAAACTCATTTACTTGTCTTGAAACACCCAAAATGTACTCATAAAAACTTTCCACACATTTTCTTTCCCAACAGCTAGTAAAAGAAAAAAGGATTCCTAGGAAGTAATTTTTTTTACAACTTCACAATCTGATCACCAATTCCATTGGCAGATTTGAGATTTTATGTTGTGACATCAACGACATCTGGGATTCAGTTGCAAATCTTGACACTCCTAGCAGCCAGCTACTTTTTTTTTTATTCTGTAATAAAAAGAATAAGGAAAGTACAATCCAGATATCTACTACTATGTGAAGATTTCATTGTTGTTTCAGACAAAAGGATGGCTATTTCCCCTCCTCATCCTGCACAGCAAACAACACCTAAGCCAAAAAAGATTTATTCGATGTATAGGGGTACACTTTTAAGACAAATACTTTCCTTCTACTCCCACCCCTATAGTACTTTAAGAAGAAGTACAGACAAAGCTTTTTTTGGCTGTACTTCTCCTGTGGATCACAGGAGAGCAATCATTTCTGCACTCCTGTGATGTGTTTTCAGCTGACAGCAGACTGAAGTCCACTGTCGGCTGACGTCAGTCCAGGCTGGGGAAAGATCCCGACTTCAAAGTTGGGATCCACCCCAGAGTCTGAAGAGGCACCTGGCTCAACCTCTCAGTGAGTTGCTGAGAGCGTGAGACAGCTGCTCCCTCCCCTAGAGCCGGCGAGGGACAGATGCAGCATGGACCAATGCAGCATTCACCTAGGTAAGTATAAATAGGAGGAAAAAAAGACCATATTTCTCTTTTAAGATAGACTTGTTTATCTTAGGCAAACACTTGCTACAAAAAATCCAAAGGTCAAAAATAAATACTATTATTTGGTCAGGCCATGCTTCCCCATGCTTTTGCTGCAAACCACAATTGTCAAAACTACTACCTATGCTGTAACAACACTTTCATAATGTCTAATCATTAAAACCAAGTAACCACACAGCTTTATGACTTTTTGAATATATTAATCCCCCTGGCATATATCTTTATTTTATGTCTTACCCATTCAGCATACAGTACAGATGAACTATGATAAAATGGAATATAAGAGAAAAGAAAAAGAGGATGCAGCAAATATCTAAATTACTTGAACAATTAAAAACTTAGAAACACAAATCAAATCAAACTTATCCCCAGACAACTTCAATACCCTAACAGAACACAGAGAAATACTATGATTATTATTGTTGTCAGCACAAGACAAATTCTTTACAGGAATGAAATGATTTTATTATTCCCAGTGCAACAGAGCCAGTAAGTTGCTGAGATACAAACCAAAACCAAAATGGCTTTCAAAACCCATCACACACTATACAACCCTCAAGATATTGCAAACATGCTTAGTTATTATTATAACACCCTTAACAATTTAAAGCACAAAAACATCAGTCCCATATTTAACGTTAAATGAAAAATCCCTTTTTGCAAAAAAATATAGCAAATACAAGCCATGTTGCAAAAACTGTTATTTAAAAAAATATTTTTTTTTTCTTCTGCAGTGCTATAACTTTCTGTAAAATGCCATTTGGCAACCCAGAGGCCTTCTGTACACAGTTGGTGTACAGAACTTCCCCAGAAATGTAATGTCCTGCTTGTGTAATTGGTTCACTGATTTTCCCAGAAGTCTGCACATGGATAGAAGTCAAATTTTAGGCATCCTCTGTAATCGGAATTATATTTCAGAAAGATACTCACTAAGAGTTAACCACTTGCCCTCCAGAGGATTCACCCCCTTCCTGACCAGGCCATTTTTTGAGTTACAGCACTGCGTTACTTTAACTGACAATTGCGCGGTCATGCAACGCTGCACCCAAGTTAAATTTACGTCCTTTCTTTCTCACAAATTGAGATTTCTTTTTGTGGTATTTGATTGCCTGTGCATTTTTTATTTTTTGCACAATGAAAAAAAAAAGACCAACAATTTTGAGAAAAAAACAATATTTTTGACTTTTTGCTATTAAACATGTCCAGTAAAAGAATTTAAAAAATCAAATTTCCTCAAAAATTTAGGCCAAAATGTATTCTGCTACATATCTTTGCTAAAAAAAATCCCAATACCTGTAAATGAATTGGTTTAGCATTATAGCATTTACAAATGGCAGTATATATACTGGGATTTTTTTTATTTTTATTTTTACTAGTAATGGCGGCGATCAGAGAATTATAGCAAGACTACGGGACTGCGGCAGGCATTCTGACACTGGGGGGAACTGACTTGATGTCACTGACATCCCCAGTGACACCAATACAGTGATAAGTGCTTATAAAATGCACTGACACTGTACTAATGACACTGGACAGGAAGGGGTTAGCATGTGGGGTAATCAAAGGGTTAACTGTGTGCTGTGTGTACTTTACTATGGGGAGTGTGTTAGTGCTTCACTGCAAGCACACCATTTTGCATGGCTGTGCAGAGCCATGCAAAGCTGTGTGCGCAAGCTGGCAGGGAGGAGAACTGTTTTGGTTACTAATGGTTCTCCCTCCCCTCGGAGATGCTCGGCATCAAGTAATCACCGGCCGAGACCCAGTGATCGACAGCCACGGCCGCAAATGGTGGCACGCGCCCCCTACCCGGAAATGCAAAATCACAAATATATATATATCTATATATATATATATATACGTGATTTTGCACACCCGTGCTGCCCTGTAGCAGTATATCTGCTATAGGACAGACGGGAAGCAGTTAATTACCTCTGAAGGGATGCAAACAATGCAGATTTCCTATAATAGAAAAAGGGGGTATAAGAGCACTAGGATTTAATAATGATATGAGCAGCTAGCATAAAGGTATAACCTCTCAATCTTTGAAACGAGAACTGTCAGAAAATGCAGCACTATATTAAAAGATATATGTAGAAATAAATAGACAATAATGTGTCAAATATTCATATATATGCGCTGTGGAGCGCTAATGTAATAACAAGTGTAAACGTCTATGATGGTGACGTTGAAAGTGCAATAAGTGACATATAGTAAATAGGATATCAAATCACGCAAAGTAAAGATATAACGTCCAGTATTGAAATAAAGGTGAAAAACAGTGATTTCCGTGATTGTGAATGGGTATATATTGCACTAACCAGATAGCACAAACATGTGCGCCTTTGAGTTGTCAGACCACTCCTGGTCATCAGGAACTGGAAAAGCTAGAATCAGGAGATCATCTGGCAAACCAGCAGCACGACAGTTGATCAGCGTGTCATCTCTCTCCAAGTGGTGTTACTCATCCATCCAGCAGGGGGTCATGATCCAGGTATCATAGATACTAAGTCATCCAGCATGGAAACCTCACAGTGGCGGGTATGGGGCACCAAAACAGGGATCCACCTTAAAAGGGGTGCTTGTAATAAAACGAGCCCAAGCAAAGATCTGTCAAGGTCCTACCTTTCCTCAGGGCTTGTGCTGCTCCATGTGCTGGCATCCATCTTAGGTGTCTGCAAAGCATTGTGGGATCCTTTATGCTTTCAGCCCTCTGCGGCTCCTCCCCCAGGAGGTGGCGGCTTATCACATATAAGTCTGCTGTTTGTAGCTGTCCATTGCATTCGTGTCCTGTCTGTTGCACAGCAGCAAACTCCTTTTTAGTTTCTCATTGCTGTCCTGGATACCGGCTTTGGCAAGACTCCTTCCTGGCTTATGACCCCAGCTCTGGTGACCATCCTTCCTGGCTTCTGACCCCAGCTCTGGCGATCATCCTTCCTGGCTTCTGACCCCGGCTCTGGCGATCATCCTTCCTGGCTACTGTTCTACCAAGTCATCCGCTGTTGCTGTTGGACTTGCATAGACTCTGTCTTGTTTTTGTATAATAAACTTACCTTTAATTGCACCTCCTTGTGTGTCTGGCTCTTCGCTCCCTGACAAGATCTTGATAGTGCAGTATTTTTGCTTTATTTAGTAGATACACATATATTAAGAACTCACATCAGCAAAGAAAACAGCAGTAAAGATGGCCGTCGGCCTCCACGTGGCCCGAACGGCGTGACATAACTGGCTAGGCTCCAGCTGACGCGTTTTGTGCTTATGAGCACGTTATCAAAGGGCAATGCAGCTGACAATGCAGCTTTCCTCATTAGAACCCTACAAGTGCATCAGCTGATTAGATTGAACATAGACACTCTCATTCAGCAATCAGTATTCCAAGGACAGTGATGAACATATAGCTTTTTCTTAACCACTTCAAGTCCGGACACTTTTACCCCCTCCCTGTCCAGGCCAATTTTCAGCTTTCAGTGCTATCACACTTTTGAATGACAATTGCGCGGTCATGCAACACTGTACCCATATGAATTTTTTAGCATTTTGTGAGACAGATAAAACTTTATTTTGGTGGTATTTATTCACCATTGGGATTTTTATTTTTTTGCTAGGTAAATAAAAAAGTCCAAAAATTTTGAAAAAATGTGTTTTTCTTATACAATTTAGCAAATAAATAATATTTCATCATAAATCTTGGCCAAAATGTGTTCCATTATCTTTTTAGTAAAAAGCAAATAACCCAAATTAGTTTATAACCAAAAATTATAATTTTTAAACATTTATTTTTACTTTTTTATTTTATTTTTTTATATTATTATTTGTGGTTTTTTTTTTTTTTTTTTTTTTTACATACTGTCACCCTAGCAGTACAGTGTCACCATGGTGACACTGTACTACTTGTGGGGGGTGATGAAGATTTTTTTTTTTACACTGATTGCTTTTACACCCATAAAGGCTGTAGAAGCAATCATTTCTCCTTCTCTCTGGCTGCATTTTTGCAGCCATTGAGAACCACTGTGTGAGCTGTGATTGGTCACAGCTTGTCACATGGTACAAGGCTGTTGTGAATAGCCTTGTACCATGTGACCTCTGTGATCATTCACAGATTTCACACGTAGTAACCAATGATATCAGAAGTGACATCTTTCTTACTACTCTGCATGTGATCACTGATTGGCCACAGAGGTCCCGTTCGAAGATTGGTGTTCCACTGTGTCTGGAGGACACAGCGGGCACCGGATTGCGGTGCTGCATGCTCCCAGGGAACGCGCACAAGAAGGGGGGGGAAGTCCGTTTATAAACAGCCACCCGACCCTGCACCTCCACCGTCCGGCCGTTTATATACAAAAAAGTTTGCTTAGATAGATCACAGAAGGGATTGTTTTTTTCTCAACAACAATGGAGTTAATCTTTATGTCCTACAGTGAGGAACAGAAGTATTTGAACACCCTGCGATTTTGCAAGTTTTCCCACTTAGAAATCATGGAGGGGTCTGAAATTCACATTGTAGGTGCATTCCCACTCTGAGAGACAGAATTTAAAAAAAAATTCAGGAAATCACATTGTATGATTTTTAAAGAATTTATTTGTCTTGCACTGCTGAACATAAGTATTTGAACACCTGAGAAAATCAGTGTTAATATTTGGTACAGAAGTCTTTGTTTGCAATTACAGAGGTCAAAAGTTTCCTGTAGTTCTTGACCAGGTTTGCACACACTGCAACAGGGATTTTGGCCCACTCCTCCACACAGATCTACAGTCAGGTCCATAAATATTGGGACATTGACACAATTCTAACATTTTTTGTTCTATACACTACCACAATGGATTTGAAATGAAACGAACAAGATGTGCTTTAACTGCAGACTGTCAGATTTAATTTGAGGGTGTTTACATCCAAATCAGGTGAACGGTGTAGGAATTACAACAGTTTGCATATGTGCCTCCCACTTGTTAAGGGACCAAAAGTAATGGGACAATTGGCTTCTCAGCTGTTCCATGGCCAGGTGCATGTTATTCCCTCATTATCCTAATTACAATGAGCAGATAAAAGGTCCAGAGTTCATTTCAAGTGTGCTATTTGCATTTGGAATCTGTTGCTGTCAACTCTCAAGATGAGATCCAAAGAGCTGTCACTATCAGTGAAGCAAGCCATCATTAGGCTGAAAAAACAAAACAAACCCATCAGAGAGATAGCAAAAACATTAGGCGTGGCCAAAACAACTGTTTGGAACATTCTTAAAAAGAAGGAACGCACCGGTGAGCTCAGCAACACCAAAAGACCCAGAAGACCACGGAAAACAACTGTGGTGGATGACCGAAGAATTCTTTCCCTGGTGAAGAAAACACCCTTCACAACTGTTGGCCAGATCAAGAACACTCTCCAGGAGGTAGGTGTATGTGTGTCAAAGTCACCAATCAAGAGAAGACTTCACCAGAGTAAATACAGAGGGTTCACCACAAGATGGAAACCATTGGTGAGACTCAAAAACAGGAAGGCCAGATTAGAGTTTGCCAAACGACATGTAAAAAAGCCTTCACAGTTCAGGAACAACATCCTATGGACAGATGAGACCGAGATCGACTTGTATCCGAGTGATGGGAAGAGAAGAGTATGGAGAAGGAAAGGAACTGCTCATGATCCTAAGCATACCACCTCATCAGTGAAGCATGGTGGTGGTAGTGTCATGGCGTGGGCATGTAACTGCCAATGGAACTGCTTCTCTTGTATTTATTGATGATGTGACTGCTGACAAAAGCAGCAGGATGAATTGTGAAGTGTTTCGGGAATATTATCTGCTCATATTCAGCCAAATGCTTCACAACTCATTGGACGCTTCACAGTGCAGATGGACAATGACCCAAAGCAGACTGCAAAAGCAACCAAAGAGTTTTTTAAGGGAAAGAAGTGGAATGTTATGCAATGGCCAAGTCAATCACCTGACCTGAATCCGATTGAGCATGCATTTCACTTGCTGAAGACAAAACTGAAGGGAAAATGCCCCAAGAACAAGCAGGAACTGAAGACAGTTGCAGTAGAGGCCTGGCAGAGCATCACCAGGGATGAAACCCAGCGTCTGGTGATGTCTATGTGTTCCAGACTTCAGGCTGTAATTGACTGCAAAGGATTTGCAACCAAGTATTAAAAAGTGAAAGTTTGATTTATGATTATTATTCTGTCCCATTACTTTTGATCCCTTAATAAGTGGGAGATACATATGCAAACTGTTGTAATTCCTACACCGTTCACCTGATTTGGATGTAAATACCCTCAAATTAAAGCTGACAGTCTGCAGTTAAAGTACATCTTGTTTGTTTCATTTCAAATCCATTGTGGTGGTGTATATAGAGCCAACAATGTTAGAATTGTGTCGATGTCCCAATATTTATGGACCTGACTGTAGATCTGTCAGGTTTCAGGGCTGAGCCACATGGAGTTTCAGCTCCCGCCAAAGATGTTCTATTGGATTTAGGTCTGGAGACTGGCTAGGCCATTCCAGAACCTTGACATGCTTCTTACAGAGCCACTCCTTGGTTATCTTGGCTGTGTGCTTCGGGTTGTTGTCATGTTGGAAGACCCAGCCACGACCCATCTTCAATGCTCTGACTGAGGCAAGGAGGTTGTTGTTCAAAATCTCACAATAAATGGCCCCATTCATCCTCTACTTAATACAGTGCAGTTGTCCTGTCCCCTTTGCAGAAAAGCACCCCCAAAGCATGATGTTACTGCCCCCATGCTCGTAGGGATGGTGTTCTTGGGATGCAACTCATCCTTTTTCCTCCAAACACGATGAGTGAAGTTTAGATCAAAAAGTTCTACTTTGGTCTCATCTGACCACATGACTTTCTCCCATGCCTCCTCTGGATCATCCAGATGGTCATTGGCAAACTTCAGACGGGCCTGAACATGTGATGACTTGAGCAGGGGAACCTTCCATGCAATGCATGATTTGAAACCATGACGGCGTAGTGTTCTACCGACAGTGACCTTTGAAACTGGTCCCAGCTCTCTTCATGTCATTGACCAGCTCCTCCGTTGTAGTTCTGGGCTGATCCTTCACCTTTCTTATCATCAGTGATACCCCACGGGGTGAGATTTTGCATGGAGCCCCAGTCCGAGGGAGACTGATAGTCGTCTTTAGCCTCTTCCATTTTCTAACAATTGCTCCAACAGTTGATCTATTTTCACCAAGCTGCTTGGCAATTGCCCCGTAGCCCTTTCCAGCCTTGTGGAGGTCCACAATTTTGTCTCTGGTGTCTTTTGACAGCTCTTTTGTCTTGCCCATGGTAGTAGTTGGCGTCTGACTGACTGTAGGGTGGACAGGTGTCTTTAAAGAGCTCAGACAGGTGCTACTAAGTTAGATTAATGAGTGGAGTAGCGGTGGACTTTTTAAAGACACAGTAACAGGTCTTTGAGAGACAGAATTCTTGCTGTTTCTTAGGTGTTCAGATATTTATGTTCAGCAGTGCAAGACAAATAAATTCTTTAAAAATCATACAATGTGATTTCCTGAATTTTTTTTTTAATTCTGTCTCTTAGAGTGGGAATGCACCTACAATGTGAATTTCAGACCCCTCCATGATTTCAAAGTGGGAGAACTTGCAAAATCGCAGGGTGTTCAAATACTTCTGTTCCTCACTGTATAGACAAATTCTGCAGCTGAATAAACCTGCCAATCCTGAACAATGCCACACTGGTGAGAGCATTCTCAAAGCCGCATATCAGTACAATTTGCACTGCCGATTTTATTGCAAAAATTGGCAACAAGCAGTACAGGAACCTCTTTCATAATCGCTGCGACATGAGTCATGGCAATATGAGCAGTTCCATTTCCGGCGATGGGGTGTGACTTGCCACGTGATTTGGAACTGTCAAATCGCATGACAAGTTGCACCAGTGTGAACCGAAGCTCACTGTATGAACTATGCTCCCCATTAAAGTTAAAAATAAGATATACCATGCCCTTCACTCAAGTATGTACCTCCAGAAATGCTTTCGAAACCTGTAAAGGGGGTCTGTTGTTGCCCCTAATTTTTATACCCTTGGCTGAAACCATCAGAAAATGCTCCCCTTAAATAAAAAGCTGAATATTGCCATACAATCAGATTATTGGCAGAAGATGTGATACAAAACTAGATCTTTCCCTGTATGAACAATTCTACATGTATTTGGCTCAGTATCATATTGTAAGGCAAAAGAAATCAAAACACAAATTCTAATTCTAGGTCTCAGCCCTCATTCTTGCTCACAATGTAATGCGGGTCCACAATGTATCTGAACACCACAGAACAAAACACTATTTAATGTTTAATATTCAAAGCAAACCCCCCATCCATCCATGTCTCCAGACTTATTTTGCTGAGAAATCACTTTGAAAAACACCCCCCTAGCATTTTTGGCTGTGGCCATCTTGAGTAAGGGCAGATGATTTAGGTAGAATTTACTTCCTCTAATCCATCTGCCTTTAGCTCAGGCATGCAGACAGCAGGGTGTACTTAGCTGAGAAAGCCCCTCCTCCCCGCCAGAAGACTCCTGGGATGTATGACATAATTTGCCTAGGCATAGAAACAGGACATAGCTAAAAAATGCATATAAATAAGTTTAAAACAAGTAAATATAATATAGCTTTTATCTATTTACTAATGTTAGCAGCATAAGAATTAGAAATAGTCAATGTTGATTGAGAGAGTAAATTTCCACTTGAAAATGCCAAGTTCACTTTTTTTTTTCTAAATTCCAGCTTCCCTATGTACTAATAAACTATTAATATACCTCTTTTGCAGGAAAGAAAAATCATTCTATAATATCCTACACCAGCACTGTTAAGACACATGAAGGAGTTCACCAGCTAACCTCATTAGCATACACCCTGCACCCACCCTCCCTCTTCCAGGAGATGGCTCTCGCCCACCTCTGTGCACACTTACCCCTGGTTCACATAAATGCAGAAATGAGGGCCGCGTTTTGTGTAGGCACAAGAGAGTGCCCCGTGACACTGTGAGATGGGGAAAAAGCTCTCATTGTTTGAACACTGATTGTGTGGAAGTAAATTAATGTTTTGACTGACATTCTGCGGTTTAGCCTCAAGATGTCACTGTTTTTCTAACACAGCCTCAGACTGCATAGATATTTGTATATTCATGAAGAGGTGGAGCTTTCACACAGAGTTGGAGTGAACAGGAAGAGGAGACTGCAGCCATGTTTTGAACGGTGCTGAATGAAGGGGCCGTGTGAGCTGAGAATCCGATGACATCCAGGTGTGTGAGATTCCCTCGGTAACCAGAGCTGCGGCTAAGTGAAGCTGATCGTGTCCAAGACCCTGATCCTGTTCAGAGAAAGGAAGATTGCTGCCAGTAATGCTGATGAGAGCAGAGGAACAATTCAGCATACACTGCAATATCGCAAGCTTGTTGGAGAGACATTTGTTCTGTTCAGAGTCACCAGCGGATGTAAAGCAGACCCGGGTCGGTAAGATCGTGCACGCGCCTCATTTCAGTGTTGACGCCTATAGACTGAGTCCAGGCCTATAGTTAGTTAGTTAGGGTCTCTGTTTGTGTCAGACCACAAGTGTTGTTACCGATTATTGGAAGGACTCCACAACTTAAAGTGACATTTCACATTGGAGAGCTGATAAAATCCTACAAACTCAAGCCAGACTGGCGTTTTGCTCAGAAGGAATACTCAGGCACGTGCTACAGCACCAGTTATGGGAGAGGGAATACTGTAGATTTGTGTAAGATTGTAAGCTGTTGTGCTGCACCGCCAGCTAGCCCATACCATACACCCATACACTGATTCCTACTCTCTTAGGGTAATAACAGGTAAGGTGTGGCAGCTTAATTGTGCCCCCAGTAGGTAAATTACTACAATTTCTACCTTCATCCATCAGGAGGCGCCATACTGTGCAGCACAAGGGTCTCCGCCTTTGGGCTGGGTGTATGTAAATTTATTGTATGTTCCCAGCATTTGTGGTTGTGTTTACTTGCCACATCTAAGTAAAATTCTGTTGTGGCAAAAGCTGGTGTTGGGGTTGCTTTCCTCGTTCGTGACTTCACTGTTTCCTGGGAAACCCACCCCGGTACACGGCTTACAACACGCAGAGAAGTCCCTGCACTTCTTCCGAAAACGCAGCCCGCACGGGAACCTCGGTTCCCAGTACGGTTGCGTTTTCCAGTGCGGGTGGCGTGCCATTAAAAGTAATTGCACCCGCCCACAGGTCCGTATTCCTCTGTGCGGGTGGTGCGGCTGCACAGATTTTCGTGCGGATCCGCAGCCGCACTACCTGCACATATGTGAACCTAGCCTTACAATCAATGTCAAGGAACAATATTCTCACTGAATACACAGCCTTAGATCTACCTTCAATAGGGTTGCCACCTCACCCGTTTAAAACCGAACACATATTAATTATACAGGTTCTGATGCTAATTTAATGCAGATAAAGCACTAAGTGAGTTTAATTACCACCTTAATCAGCCACAGAACCTGTGTAATCAACTATGTAGTGCAAGGGCCTGCCTGATTGGATGCAGAGTGATTGGTTAGATGGTGTTTTTACTGATTATAATGTTTTGGTAAATCTGAAGGAAATTGTACAGCGATTGAACGATCAGATTGTATAGAGTATGGTCACCTTAATACACCTTAAATGTTGTGTAGTTGTGCTTTTGGTGCCATTAATTGCTAATGGCATTCCAAACACAGAAGCAAACACACATTTTGCCATTTGAAAAAACAAGTGACAAATGTACCAAAACGCACAGTAAAGAAGTGCAAACTGCTACACGTCAAAAAATGTCCTATGAGCTAGTGTGCCATGTGTAGGGTAGCCCATTGAAATCAATGGGCTGTGCTATGCGTGTTGTGGGGGAAACAGGCCAAAAAATGTGTGCTCCCACTGAGCTAAGTTTACAGGAGAACAGCGAGGCTCCATTCCCATTTCCAAATGCATGGCAAGCTGTACAGAAAAGGTGCCTTATAGGTGGGGAAGGAGCTGACCACCATTTGTAATTCCTTCAAAGAAATGGGGACATCTAATTTTTGTCTCTGTGCAGCAGAGAGAGTGGAGAAGGGACTGTTCTGAGCATATTGGGCAATCTAACTTGATGTTTGTTCTCTCACGTGGTATAAGTCCACATAACATTCAGCCAATTCAGACAATACTAAGTCAGGAGTGTAAACAGTATGCCCTGATTTACACGTAATAGCTCCAACAGCTAGAGATGTCTTTTGGGAGCATACTATTCTAGTTAGCGCTCTGCCAAATGGTCGTCAAATGGTCCAAAGCATCTTGAGCCGATATCCACCGCTCACATGCAGAATCCGAGGGATTGGTAATGTAGACTAGTTGAAGTTGTTGTTTTTGGTCTTGCACCTGGTTAGTCAAATCTGAAGAAGACTTTTTAGCTGCATTCATTACTGCAATAAAAAAAAAATGGAGAAAGGCTGTAAAAGCCTCCCAAGTCTAAATGTGGTTTGGGTGCAGGGGCGGTCTGACCATTTGGGAACTCAGGCACTGCCCAAGGGCCCTGGGTCAGTAGGGGGCCCCATGAGATGCCCCTGGTACCTTTTCATAGGCTTTTTTGGGTGTGGTTTGATTGTGGGCGGGGACACAGGGGCCCCATGATCCCCTATTGCCCGGGGGCCTCATGAGTTGTCAGTCCATCCCTGTTTGGGTGACTTTCGCGAGTAAAGAAAAAGGGCACAATCTGCTGTTCAACCCATTCATGGGAAGGGAAAAGTTGCAGCCAAAAAGCACTGAGCTTCCAGGGGACCCTATCTAAGTTAGATGGCGGTTGGGCAATAATCCAGGCCACCATGGGAAATGGTCAGGGGAGGTATTCAAGTGTAGATATAGAAGGAGCTAACGATGAGGTGCCAACACATTCAAGTTTATCCTGGACATGTATATCTTGGAGAAGCAAAAAAACTGTTTCATTAAAGGGTATCTATGCCTCCAAAGGTCCATCTATCTCCTCCAGGAAGCGTGACACTATTGTATCCCTAGTACTGGAGAGCATTAACAGAGGTGGATGCCTATTGAGGGTAGGATTAAAGTGTTACTAAACCCAGGACCCTACATACACTATATCTGGTCTCCAACAGTACACAGAACATGGAAGTGCAAATATTTTAGTAAATATAAACTGCTAAATACCTTTTCTCATCAGCAGTTAAAGCAGTCTTGTGACTGTTATCAGTATCGAGTCGGCACATGGTAAGCTTGTAAGAAGAGTTTTCTTTCTGCTCTAGGAAAGTGCAGAACCCCTGACCTCTATCTGGAGAGTGCTGATTGGCCCTGTACTGATCACATGCATGCTCCCAAGAAAAAGAAAACTCTAGCAATACACACCAAACTGAGCATGTGCAGAGTGACTCCACAGGATATGACTTATCAGGACATAAGAGGGGGACACTGAAAGAAGGGGAGGATCAGAGAAGCCAGGATCAAACAGCATTCTTACACGATACAGATAATTAACCCCTTAGGTTCCACAGTGAGTACAAGCATGCTTTACTGCATATACAGACTGAAAATCAGATAGACTGTGGTAAAGGTGTCAAGCAATGCCAGGTTCACCTCTGACTAGTGAAAGCAAAAGGAACAGTCTCTCAAGTAGGAAAGAAAAAAAGGGCAGTGCACCGTAACAATGGCATAGATAAGCGGAGCTATGTCAGTACTCTTCTCTAGCAGCTGTTCTGCCACACAGGCTGTGCATGTTTTCATCAAGCCATGCAGCAGCATCAGTTCCACTCAAAAAAAGTAGGTTTTCCCATTGGCGGTGACCCTTAGCTTAGCTGGATATAGCATTGCATAGGGCAGCTGGAGACGCTAAAGAGTCTTCTTGACATCTGTAAATTTTGCAAGTTTGCATTAGACTTTAGCTGAAAAAGTCCCGGTAAAAAGAGATTTTTTTCCCCTGTTATACTGTATATTAGCTTTATTCCTGGCCAGCCAAAGTATTGTTCATGATCTTTGTAATTTAACAGATGTGCAAACATGTGTCGTGGCAGGAGGCCTGGTGATAGTGACTATGACAGGGTTGTGTGGCCATGTTCCACTGCAAAGAGATGAATAAATGAGCCCTTGCCAAAGATCCCAAGCAGCCACCATTTCACAAATTTGGTGGGAACCTTGCCTTCAACACATTCTGGGAGACCCACAATACACACATTATTTTGGGCATAACCTATTTTCAATATCATCTGTTTTAGAAGTGGTGGTCACAGCCAATTAGAGGCAATATGTACATTTCTTGACAAGGATGGAAGCTGGCCTTCCAGATCACTGATACAACTTTCAGTCACTGTGGTAGGCTCCTGTATGTTTTCGAAGATCGTGACGGAGCAAGGATATCTCTCCCTGCAAACTGCCAAAACAGAGGCAGTGCACTAGTGTGCAGCTTTAAGAATTTCACTGGGCATGGGCTGCTCTGTGTCCCTTGTGCCATGCTCCCCATCCAAAGATTCAGTATCCTGTGCTGCAGCAGGAGGCTCTGTCTGAGAAGACATGGCAGACACTTTCTGTGTGAGAGGCTCAGGAGAAGTTGAGGCAGTGGTGGCCCAGAAGGAAGACTCCAGCAGCCATGAAAACTTTTGGGTGCATAGCATGTCCCTGGGAGACTCTTTGCCCTGAGGTTTGGTGGCTTTAGGTCGTTACTCACAGGCTCCTTAGGTTTCTCCGTGTCTTGAACTCGCTCCCCGTATTCCCGGAGTCTATGGGAAGATATTCAAGCAGACACAATAATAGTTTTAACCTGTCTGTACTTTATTGGCACGTTGCAGATAAATGGTAAAACTATAACAAGCTAATATGCAATCACTATACGATAAGCATCACAGATAAAATGACACTCAATATAGCTAAGATCCTCTGCTATACAATCCTAGCTACCTACAGCAGGGGAAAAGGGGCGTTAATTACCTCCGATGCCGTCAGATGGAAAGAGATAGAATCTGGTTGCTTCTCTCATGTAGAAAATCATGGATTCCTATGAGGTGTTTTTTACTTCCTGTAGCTCACTTCCTGTATTGTGGGAGAAGAAATTACCTTTTACATCACATCCTGGCTAGCTAAATAACACAGCTCTGAAGTTTAGCCAGTAGGTGGCATAAGAGAACAGATAACTAATCTGTAAATAAACATGACTACAATCAAATGCAAAACAACATAATAATTATACAGGTCTATCTTGATCTAGAAGTCCTCAGAAGAGAATGTATTCTGGGGACAGGACACTCAGCACCCCAATGAGCACAATGAGGCAGGGCCAGCTGGACGCTATCTTGCTGATCTAGGGCTGCCGTCTCCTCTCTGCCCGTGTCAGACAGCAGTGGCCGTGTCACCAGAGGGTCCCTGGGGCTGTCAGTAGTCAGTAAGAGCTGGTGCAGCACAACAGGATCACTGAGGGAAGGATCGATAAAGGATGATCAGCGGGAGCTCTTTAAGACACGTCTGCTCACATCCTTATCCAGGCCACACACCCCCACCCCAGGGGCAGACTGACAACTCATGGGGCCCCTGGGCAATAGGGGATCATGGGGCCCCTGTGTCCTTGCCAAAACTCAAAAAAAAAAGCCTATGAAAAAGGTATCAAGGGCATCTGATGGGGCCCCCTACTGACCCCGGGCCCTCGGGCAGTGCCCGAGTTTCCAAATGGTCAGTCCGCCCCTGCCCCACCCTTAAACTAGTTTTGGTAGATACTAAAGAAAACATCTAACAACATCTAGATCTTTAAGGATACTGTAACAGTGAGCTCTTTGTACTTACTAATCAACCTATTATCTATACTAAATGCAGAAAATACAGCAGTTACCAAAAGTGGGAACATCCAGCAACATTCCTTTTGCTCCTCCAGTACTCCACGTTGGTAGAAAGAATGGTAGAGAGATCTTATTGCTGAAGTCCACCATACCCCAGCTTTAACTGAAACATTACTTATGGGTTCACTGTTCTTTTTCTTAAAGGTTCATAATAAAATGTTCAAACCTAGATCCAACCTCACTCAATCATCTTTATTGTTTTATTAAGAAGGTTAAATCAAGTTCCTACAATTTACAACACATTATCAATCTTATCTCAGATATTGTAGGTTACCTACACACATTTAGTAAAGTAGGTATGACAGTGATACTCAGACCATATTATAAACAATAGGAAAATGCATTTCAGCTTGACAATATAAGCCTTTAGTGTTGCTGCATACTAGAATAATGAGCTCAGGATGTTTTTTCATTGTATTTCAATTTTTCAAGATTAATGGTAAAAGTTAGCACAAAGACATTAAAGTGTGGAACACCAATGGTTGAAATACAAATAGTTTCATGACGACAACTTAATTGGTGCAGTGCTGTTATTACTCAGAAAAAATGTTTTATGTTACTGTGTTAAGTTACACGGCAATTAGGAAAAGAATTGCTTTCATTTTATTATTGCTTGATCTATGAAAGTGGTTTTGTATGAAGTACATAAAAATATACTTTTAAACAATGACTTGAATATAGAAAATCACACTGATAATGAAACAGATACATAGACTTTGTATCGGATCTGTTATAGATACATACATGGCAAGCTACTGTATGTGTCAGTGTGTCACATATTCCACTTGACAATGGCTTAATTTAATTTTCTCAACATCTTTATTCAGGCATCAACCAGTGTCTGCATCTTTACTAAGCTGGGATGCTGGTTTGGAGTTAACACACTAATGCAAATCCTAACGTCTGTGTAGTTCTTGTTTATGTTCCCAATTAGCTGACACATATCAGTCCCCTCACCTTTTAGCCCTTTTCAAATTCTGAATTGTTATCAAATTACAGTGTTGCGGTCTGAATGTTCAATAGTGTAGAGAAGACTGTGAAAATGCTTCCACCTGCCTGCAGCAGATTGATGACTTTCTCACAGCCTAAGCTGTTGCTGTATATTTAACATGCCAAGAATTTAAGAACACTGCAGTTAGATTCGTTCACACACATCTAGGCTATAATTAGAGCTTAAACACAAATCTGAGCTGGACTAGAAGAGGGTCATTCTAGGGCTGTGTCCAGTGGCATAGCAAAGTAGGTAGGGTTTTAAATGTAAACTTTGTACCTCCCCCTTAATCCTTTATTTCCAATAGCATTTGCCTCCCTTCATACTGCACCCCCTTTTACTGACATGTTTATTACACATTCCCACACTTGATAATCCCCTTTATTTGGAACATCTCAAGAATATCACGAGTGGGCCTGATTGCCAGTGTCACTGGGAATGAAAGTTAGGATACGTTAGGGTAAATCCAAAGTTTTGAGTTGCCCCAGAACAGGAATAGTGGGGGGTGTTCCAATTGGGACACTTGTTCCCATGAAAACTATCTAATAGGAGATGTTCCTCACATTGAAAAGATGTCTTCCCACTTTTATTTGAGTATAAAGGACAGGAAGGGAAAATAAAAAAAAAGTTTGGACTTTCCTTTCCATAGTCCTGTCCACCTGACTGAAGCAGCCAGAAAACCTTCCAAAAAGGCAGCAGTAATGTACTTTGCACCAAACTCCACTGCCCGACAAACCCGCAATTGAGACAATATGACGCCACTATCTATTAAGACTAACACTGCCACAGCTCCAGCCTAATGATCCCTCACAAACAAACATCAGGGGACATAATGTACAAGCCCACAATCCTTATGCTGGAGGAAACTCAGAGCCCAGTCAACTTAATTGACACCTACAGCATGGTACACCAAAGACAGCAATACCTGCCCAGCCAGGCTTATAGCAGACTCAGAGACTAAGGCTTTCTTAGCCACCCCAACTACTAAGCAGGACTAATTTTGCTTCACAGACCAAACAGACCCTAAACGTTATGATGTGAAAGAATCCCTCCATAACCTCAGCACATGGGTACCATTGAGTCTGCACAAACCAGTCTACCTGGAAATTAGACTAGCCATCCATAAGAGAAAAACAACTTCTATCCCTTCAAGATGATTTGGAGAAAAAAAAAGAAACATAAAAATGTGGGATCCCTGAAGCGACTGGTGTGACAGTCCTGAAAACCACTGCTCAGGCCATTCCTAGTACCTTTTTTAACCAAGACCCACCCACTGAGATTAAACAAGAAAGGGTGCATTGAATCTAAGCTCCCCACACCACTGACATGGTAAGGCGCAGAGATTCCCTGTGTTGTGTGCACTTGTATGCAGTTAAGAAGGAGATCCTGCAAAATGTCTGGATAAAAGGAACTGTGAACTTTGATGGAACCCTTATACAGATCTTCTCTGATTTCTCAAGCTGTACATTACAAATGCACTGAATCTGCTATTAAAAACAATCCAATCATCAGGAAGAAGCTATTGCTGACGTTATTTATTCCACCTGCAGATCTGTAAGGACAACAGAACCTCCATACGTCAGACACCTAGACAATTGCCAGACTTCTTTAGCTACTTAGAGACACCTCCCATAGCAATTTCCAGTTGCTGCCCCAGCAACATCCATTTGCAATCTAGAGGCAGATACAACAGGCCAAAGGACAATGTGGACTCTGGCTCCAGGAATCCTTAAGATACGTGTCTTATATATATTTTCTGTGTAATACTTTAAGACCACTTTCCTATCTTTTTGGCTCATTTATAATCACACTCACTTTGGATTCCTTCTGCAAAGAGCTACTCCTCATCTTCAATGAGGGCCCTTTACATGAATAGAATGTCATACTGTTTAATCCCACCAAAAAAGGGTAGGGGACATTTTTGCCAAGGTGATATTTCTTCATGACAGACTCTGTAGTGCCACCCTTTGCCTAGATCCTACTCACTTGGATGTACCAAGAGTTTTCCCAAGCAACCAGCAACAAAGACTTTAACTTCATGTACAGCTTCCATGCAATGCTACCAGCTATCAGTCAAAACACTCAAATCAACACTGACATACTTTCATGGCTTATGTCTAACCCCTCTCAAGAAGCCCTACTATAGGGCTAACTACCACTCCCAGTTACTAACCTCGACAATCTGAACCTTATTGAGTCAGCAAAAGGTTTCTTCCATAACTTAGTCACTGCAAGGACAGTTCTTGTTTATCACATGGTTAAGATAATGTTAGGCATGATTGGATGTTACATTGCAACCCAAGCTTTAATGTAATTACCAATAAGTTTACATTTTGGTTTTCCAATATTGTAAGATTTCTTAAAGTATACCTAAAGGCAAAACTTTTTTTGTTTTGGACATTGTGAAGTTGGATTAGAACATCTATTGGGTTTTTTATTGCTGTCTGTGTCCCCATTAGGGAGATTCAACCTCTCAATTTGTTCTTTTTACCATAATCATTTAAAGTGAAAGTAAAAGAAAATCCCATATTTTGGATTGTCCCCAGAAAAGTAATACGGGGGAAATCATCAAATGGGGCACTAGTTCTGGTGACTTAAAGGGCCTCAAGATGTTCCCTTAGTTTTCGGAGATTTCCTATCACTTTCTGTTGTGGCTATGAGATAGTAAGTGAAGGTAAACTGCCCCAATAGGACACAGATGGCTTACTAAACAACTCAGGGGTTATAACCTTCCATACTCTATCCAAAATGAAAAAGGTTTTGCCTGTAGTTCTACTGCAGCCTCCCTAGCGGTCTGATTATGTCAGTATTTCAGTGCTCAAAGTGGTACATTTTTTTTGCATGGAAATATGTATTTTTTTATTGTAGGCCTGTAATTTTTAGGAATAACTCACTGAAATCTGTCCGAACAAGAGTCTAGTCGGGTATGTTAAAATTTGAAACAACAAATCATAAATTATAATTTAATAAATAATCATAAAAAATAATATAATAATAATAATAAATTAATTCAATAATATAGTCAAACCAAAAAACACTGAAATTTGAAATATAGCGCCAAGTTCGCATATCACTGAGCAAAGCCGCAAAATCGTTTTCAGTGTCTGATGACGAATTTCCCCACGAATCATTATGACTCAATTCTGCAAGTGGTTCTAATTTACTCTCGCTGTTCTCTAGCCGGTCTAAAACCGCTTTTGACCTAAAGGAACGCTTTTTGGACGCCATGGACATTTCTCAGTTTCAAGGCAGAAAGAACAGTAAAAATGCAGGTGGGGAACAGGACAAAGCACTAAGGACATAATGTACGTTAAATGATTTGATACAGTAATGTTTTACTATGTTATTTTAGTGAATTTAATGAATGTCACTTTTTCACATTTAAATTTCCCGCCATTCCGTCCCCGTACATCCTGACGTCACAGGGAACGGAACTCAGAAGCCGGATACCGGCATCGGCCGGAGGACATTGCAGGGGGACACTGCAGGAGGGACATCGTGGGAGCGAAGGACAAGGTAAGTGAAGAAGAGATCCCGGAGCAACGGTGCAAGGTATTCCCGAGTGTAGCTCGGGGTTACCGCTTGTGGTGCTGAAACTCTACACTTGGGAATACCTCCAGGGAGGTTAAATCCATGGATTCCTGAAAGTACAGTAAGATCCTTCTTGTTGTGGGCCTTCCAAAAAAAATTACTTTCCGGACCCCTTCTTGTCACAATATATTTATTATTATGTATGTGTTATGTGCTGATAACTGTTTAAGGTCATGATAGAACTCCAATGTCATAATTGCCTACCACACACCAAACAGGTTTACTTCCCCTTTGTCCTTATAATAAGGGCATCTACCTCAGTCTTTTCTACTCCCTCCTCCCCTTGGCAGTTTGCACAATACCGTACTTAGTGATTTACCTTTGGGACAACTACTAACACATCTGACTACCATACCCCACCATCCCCTGATTCCTTGCTACACTTCCCCACCCAACTCCCAACCCCCCTTGTTAGTGCAGTAGGGAATTCCACCTTCCCTTCTAACAGACAATTACATTACATTCTTGGGTACGACTGTAACTCTGGAGACCTAAAACTCAGGATGCCTGACCTGAGCTGAATGGCTAAAGGGTCACATTGGCAACAGTCTCCCTAATAAAGACCAATTGAGATTTCTGGAGACAAGCCTAAACCTGTTACAAAACACTTTTGAGGGTCTCTTAATCCTGGGAGGGGATTTCAATCTAGTCTTAGACCCACTGTTAGACACCTTTAAATTTAGGACTCACTTCCTCAATAAAAAAAAGTCCTCTACACTCTCCAGGTAATATATGCCTAGCAAATACAACATTGGGTTACCAGGGATTACACATTTTACCCCCCTTCAACAGTCCTACTCATGAATGGACTGTATACTAGTTTATCAACCAACCTCACCTAAAGTGCTAAAAACATTGAAATGTAGCACCCTCCTAGTTCAGCTAAAGGGAGTTAGACCCAAATGTTTAGTCAGGAATTGTTAGCAGCTCAGGTGTAATAGCCAGATGAGTCAAACTGTGGTCAGAGCTGAGAGACTCTGCAGGCCAGCCCCTCTGTAATTTCCCCCTACTCTGAGGCTTTCAGAGGAGGGCCTTGAAGGCAGTGGGTGGATCTGAGGAGTGGCTGGCAGCACTCTTGAGGGACCTCAGCCAATCCTTAACAGGAGGCTTGGCAGGGGGCTAAGAATCCCTTAGAAGTGTAAGAGCCTGCTCAGTATCAGGAGTATGGTGGTGGGAGAGATGTAGAGAGGCTGGAGGAAGATGTGAGGCTGGAGGACAGAAGATGCTTGGAGACCTAGTGAGAGATGGGGCCTGCCTGTGAGCCTGAAGCTGGAAAGGAGGGAAACTCAGGACTCACTGGTCCTCTGAGAGAGGACCACCTATATGGCTTGACATTTACCAAGCCATCACAATAGGTGCATGTTCATGGTGCATGTGTTTTAACCACTTGCCCACCGGAAGATTTACCCCCTTTCCTGACCAGGCCATTTTTTGCAATACGGTGCTGTGTTACTTTAAGTAACAACTGTGCAGTCATGCAACACTGTACCCAAATTAAATTTATGGCCTTTTTTTTCCCCATAAATAGAGCTTTCCTTTGGTTGTATTTAATCACCTTTTTGCGTTATAAACAAAAAAAAACTAAATTTAAAAAAAAAAATAATATTTTTATTTTCTACTATAAAACATATCCCAAAAAAATTAAAAAAATCTAATTTCTTCATAAATTTAGGACAAAATGTATTCTGCTACATATTTTTGTGTGTGCGTGTGATTTTGCACAGGAGAGCTGACCTGTAGCATAAAAAACTGCTATAGGGTGGGGGTAAAGTGGTTAAATGAGAGAGATTGAATCACCACAAATTAACATCTGGTGAAAGTCACATTCACTGCTTAATGAATATGCTCCATAGTGTTGATTCAGCTTTGTGAATTATATAAGAGCTGGAGACCAAGACCTTGAACATGTGAAGAGTCTGGAAAAGCCTGAACTTGTGCCACTACCAAAGCTTCTCAAGACCCTCTTATTAATATTAAAGCCCCGTTGAAACAAGGAGATTAGCTGCATGCCTCATGCAGAGTTA